TCAGTTTCGCGGGAAGCTTTGTGCACTCGGCGAAGACGGGAGCCCGCCCACCGCAACTGGACCGCGGCTGCCTAGCTCTGCCGCCTGGCAACCCTCACGACCTCCCCTAGCCCGCCAGTGTCGGCTACCAGTGCCTGTCCCGGGGAACGCCCGACGCCCGGACTCCATGGTCCTCAGCCCGGGCGTGCCGTACGACTCTCCGCGCCTGCCCCTGAGGTCCCCCAGAAACCAAGACTTGCTCGGAGTCTGGCAGAGAGAAGGCCGCGTGGCCCGCATCCCCGCCCAGGGTCAGCCCCGCCGATCTGGGGACCCCAAGCCCCTCAGGGTTCGTGTCGGAGAACGGCCCCTAGAGTGTCTGCGAAGGTCCACCTTCCAGCCGGGTGTCCACAGCCGGCAGGACAGAGGCTGCCGGCAGACCTGCTCCAGGAATCAACCTGAGCCTTACCGTTTAGAACACCTGTCCTGCAAGGAGATTGGAGGGAGGTCTTGGTAGGGTGGAGCATGCCCCCCACCCCTACCCTGGCAGTGGAGGAACTGGTCTAAGGGCAGCTTCCTCGGAGGTTGACTTAAAACAAGGATTCATGTCCACCTGGCTTGCTTAAGAGGGGACCCCAGAGCCAAGTGTGGTGGCACATCCTGGCACTCTGGAAGGCTGAGGCAGGAGGATCACAAGTTTCAGCCTAGTCAGGGCGACTTAGCCACTTAGTGAGACCTTGCCTCAAAATCAAAGGATGGGGGATGACACTCAGCCGTTAAGGACCTGGGTTCAATCCCCAGTACTCCCCAAAGTAAGGGAGCCCCCGGCAGGAAACACTAGTTGAGGTGGAGAAGTAGCAGGGAATGTTTGCTATCAGTCCAGTTGGTGTGCCAGAAACAGTAGAGGGGTCATCCTCAGGGTGCAGCCCCCGGGTGGAGTAGCCAAGTGTGCCTCCTCACCTTGCGGTCCACGTGTCTTAGGCTGCCCTGCTGAGATGATTTCTTGGCTCCCAGGCTGCAAGCACCTGAAGCATGAGGAGCGGGAGGGAAAGATGCTGTGTTTCTGGCCGGGGTAGGCTGGCTGCAGTGCCCATCCCTTCCTCCCCTTGGATCTACAGGGGAAGTTGGATCACTGGGCTGTGCTTCCTCTCTGGCAGTGTTCATCTCCTGCTCAGCAGTGCCTTAGAATGAAGCCCTTGACCCTATGTCCCTTCCAGTCGCCACCTGGATTTCCTGCTATCTTTCACAGTAGCTGTTGAGAGTTGTCTGTGCTTGGAGTCTCCTCTCCCTGTAGACAGAAGTGGCAAGCTCGTGTGTTTTTTCTAGTACTTCAGAGCAAACCACCACAGATATGGTGACGTAAAAAGCGCATATTTATTACATCATGGCTCTGGGTTTGCAGGTTTCTCTGCTCCTGGTTCCAAGGCTGAAATAGAGTAGCCACCAGTATGAGCAGATCATCTCTAGGCTCAGTCAGGGCTGATGAGACTCAATTCCACATAGCTGTGTGAGACCCCATTTGCTGGCAATTAGCTAGGATCATTTCTTAGCTTCTGGGTACCATTATCATCAAAAGCCAAACTCACTCTGAATCTCTCTGACTCATTCTCTTGTCTTCAACTAGAGAAAGTTCTGTTTTTAAGGACACCTGTGACTAGGCTGAGCTCACTCAGAAAATCCAGAGGAGCCGGGTGTGGTGGCCCACGCCTGTAATCCCAGCACTCAGGAGGCTGAGGCAGGAGGATTGCTGTGAGTTCAAGACCAACCTGGGCTACATAGTTCTAGGTCAGTCTCAACTACATAGTGAGACCCTGTCTCAAAATAAAAAACCTCCAAAAAAGTAATTTCCTTATTTTAAAGTCACTAATTAGAAACTCCATGACACCTGCACAGTCTGTTTTGCAATAGAACATCACATATGTAAAGCTTGCAAATATGAGGGTGACACCTTTAGGGCATTTTGCCATCTCTTGGCTACCCATCCCAGCAAGGCCTTCATCTTCCCATCCTGTGAAATTGCTCTACACTGGAAAACAAAACTAATCAAAAACACTGCCCATGTCATAGTAGGGATGCAGAAAATATATGCAGTGTTAGAAAGTGATGAATGTAAACTGATGTGGCACAACCCTGTAATCCCATCACTCAGGAGGCTGAGGCAGGAGAATCACCACAAGTTTGAGGCCAGCCTGAGCTACACAGTGAGTTCAAAACCAGTCTGAATGGCCTGGGATTTAGCTCAGTGGTTCTGCCACCTGCCTCGAAAGCCAGAGGGGCCCAATGGAGGCGAGCTGCTTACAGTATGATGAACAGGAAGCTGAGAGAGTAGAGGGAAGAGCCAGAAAAGGAGATATAACCTTCCAGGTCATACCCACAGTGATCTGTGTCTTCTTTCTTTAGGGGGGTGAAACGGGATCCCACTATATAGTCTAGGCCAACCTTGAACTCACTATGTAGCCCAGACTGGCCTCCAACTCAAGGTGATCCTCCTGCCTCAGACTCCCGAGTGCTGAGATTACAGGTA